TTTTCTGGTATATAGGTTTATGCTAAATGGTCCGTCCGGTTTAATTTTTTAAAAATATGGCCAGTTCGTTCCAGTTTCTGGTCAGTGATAACCCCAGGACATTGTTAGGCTGAAGACTCGGTGCAGGACGGAGGGCTCTAGATTCCTGGAACACAAGATCCATTTCTGCATAGATATTTTTCATCAATTTGTTCAGACATGTTTAACCACATATCTGGGGCAATGGGATAAAAGCAAAATACTGCAGATACAGAGAATACTGAAGAAACTTAGCAGGTCTGGCAACATCTGTGGTAAGAGAAACAGCGTTAACATTTCAAATCCGGTATGACTGTTTTTCACTTGACTTGAAACGTTCAATTCTCTTTCTCTCTTCACAAATATTGACAAACCAGATGAGTTAAGGATATGACATAATTGCTATCACAGATACATGAATGAAGGTGGGGCAGGGCTGCCAGCACAATATTTTGGCATTTAGAATCTTCACATAAGATGGGGGGGAAGTGTGGGGGTTGGTGTAAAAGAGGAGGTGTGTCACAATATTGATCAAGGAGGCAATTACTGCCGGAAGGAGAGATAATAAGTACATGAATAAGAAATGTTTGGAATTATGGTTGGTATAGACTGATTGGACCAAAGGGTCTGTTTCCATGCTGGATGACTCTATGACTCTTTGACTCCATCTCATTGAATGGTGGAGCAGACTCGATGTTGTAAATGGTTTACTTCTGTTCCTATGTCTCATAATCTTAATTAGTTGACTTTCTCTGTATTGTTCCTAATGCAATTATATCCTTTCTTAAGCAAGTAGTCCAGCTCTGTTATACTGCCACTGTTTGCCTTGCAGGCATTTTAGGTACTATGTATTTAGTATTGCCATTTGATACACCATGGCAAACTCAAGAAATTGTCACCACCTTCATTTGTTTCTCCAAATCTGTGTCCATCACAGATAACCCTAAATCTCATTCTTTTTCTCCTCATATTTTACCACTAACCTGTCATTGATTGGAATTGTTTGTAAAGTGTGGCTTTCTGAGACATAAAATGAATACAAGAATCCAAAACAAGGCAATACAAAAGCCAAAGAATACGTTGGTTTAACAAAAAATATGGAAACAAAAGTAAACCCACTTGTGTTTTTCCACTTCCATTTCTGATAACAATTTAAGAAAGATTATGAATTCTAGTTTTTTTGCACATCCTTTCTCCTCCTATGTTTGAAGAGTAGAGGTTTGGGATGCAGAAAATGCTTCTTCTGAATTGTTCCAGACAGTTTCAGTACTATTATTGTAAGATTGGATGTAAGCTTATTTTATGGAGCCACTGTTTGTTTTTGTCTCTCACTAATGTAAGTATCTCAAGTTCCAAGGTTGATTATGAATTTGCAGTTCCTATTTAAACCAAGACAGATTGCCCAAGATGTTCTCCAACAACAGTCAAAATTATTCAAAGTCTGTTAAAGCATTTAAGTTTAACACTAATATTTTCGAAAACATAATAAAGTATCTAAAATCAGAGTAAAAACTCACCTGCCTTTAAGCTGAAAACCAACCTCAAGAGCATGTATTCAGTTCATGACATCATAAGCAAGTGCGGCCTGACATGGATGCACCTAGCTGCTAGGCCTTGCAGATTGTTTTGTTGTTCCACTATCCTGGGACAAGAAGCTGAAATTTTTAATGTAGCCAACAGACCAGGGTTAGTTTGAATTTCTCAGTAGTTAGTTGGTTCAGGTACATAATTCTTTGAAATTAGCATCACAGGTAGACAGAGTGGTTAAGAAGGCATTTAGCACGCTTGCCTTTATTGCTCAAACTTTGAACATAAAAGATCATGTTGAGGTTATATAGGACATCAGTGAGTCCTCTTTGGGAGTACTATGAGCAAATCTAGTCGCCCTGCTTTAGGGACGATATTATTAAAATGGAGAGGGTTCAGCAAGGATTTACCTGGATGTTGCAGGGAATAGAGGGTTTGAGTACTAGAAATAGGCTGGATCTTTTTTCACTGGAGCGCAGGAGGTTGAGGGATGACCTTATAGAGGTTTATAAAATCATGAGGAGCACAGATAAGGTGAATAGCAAAGGTATTTTCCCTAAGGTGGGAGAGTTCAAAACTAGGGGGCATATTTTTAAGTTAGGGCAACCTTTTATTTAAAAAACAGAGTGGTTAGTGTGAGGAATGAACTTCCAGAGGAAGTGGGGGATGTGGGTACAATTCCAACATTTAAAAAACATTTGCATAATTACATGAATAGGAAAAGTTTGGAAGTATATGGGCCAAACACAGGCAAGTGGAATTAGTTTAGTTTGGGAACATGGCTGGTGTGGACTAGTTAGATTGAAGGGTCTGTTTCCATGCTGTATAGCTCTATGACTCTACAAATGCTACACCTTCATCACTGACCACAGAATAGAACAAGGAACGACAAAACACAGGAACAGGTCCTTCGGCTCTCCATGTCTGCGAAAACACATTTTGTCCTTCCATATGAAATCTGTCTTCACCTACAGGATCCGTATCCCTCTATTCCCTTCCTATTCATATATTCATTCAGGTGTTTTTTGAATGCTGCTATTGTGTCTGCTTCCACCACCTCCTCTGGCTGCATGTTCCAGGCACTCAACACCCTTTGAGTGAAAAATTTGTCTTGCACATCTCTTGAACTTTTTCCCCTCAATCCCTGCACCTTGAACCCATCTCCCCTAGTAATTGACCCCTCCACCCTGGGAAAAAACTTCATATTTTCCACTCTATCCAGGCCATTCACAATCTTATAAACTTCTATGAGGTCACCCCTCAACCTCCTGTGTTCCAGTGAAAACAAACCCAGTCTATCCAAACTTTTTCATAGCTAAAATCCCCCATACCAGGCAACATCCTGGTAAACCTTTTCTCTACCCTTTCCAAAGCATCCACATCCTTCTGGTAGTGTGGTGACCAGAACTGTATGCAATATTCCCAAGTGTGACCTAACTAAAGTTCAGGAAAGCTACAGCATAACTTGTCTATCTTTATACTCAATGCCCCTTCCAATGAAGGCAAGCATGCCATAGACCTTTTTTACTACTTTATCTACCTGCATAGCCACCTTCAATGATCTGCGGATCTGCACACCCAGATCTCGCTGTATATGAATCCTCTTAAGGGTTCTGTCATTCACTGTATAATTTCCACCTGTACTTGACCTTCCAAAATGCATCACCTCACATTTGTCCAGATTAAATTCCATCTGCCATTTTCTGCCCATGCCTCCAACTGATCTATAGCTGGCTGAATCCTCTGACAATTCACCACACTATCTGCAACTCTACCAATCTTTAAATCACCTGCAAACTTAATAATTGGACCAGGCACCTTTCTTCCATATCATTTACGTAGACCATGAGCAGCAGAGGTCCCAGCACTGACCCCTGTGGATCACCACTAGTCACAACCCTCCATTCCGAAAAGCATCCTTCCATCGCTACCCTGTCTCCTATGCCTAAGCCAGTTCTGTATCCATCTTGTAAACTCACCCCGATACCATGTGACTGCACCTTTTGTACCAGTCTGCCATCTGAGTCTTCACGACAGAAATCAAAAAAGATCACACTGATTTTTTTTGGGAAACCAAGGCTCTAATGCAAATGAGCGACTTGAAACAATCAATGAATTGTTAAAAAAATGTATTGGAGAAATTAGCTGGGACTAAAAGCCAACAAACGTGACAGCCCACGTAGGTTAAATAGAGGTGCTATAGCAATAGTGGATGTATTGGTTTCGATCTTTCAGAATTCCTCAAATTGGAAACCAGTTCCTAATTGGCAGATAATAATAAATAGCTATATGAATAGTATATAATTTGAAATTTGAGTTTTAAACTAGAGCAAGTGGGTTTTGTTTTTAGTTCTGTGAAGATGACTTTTCTTAAAAGAGGTCAGAAAATCATTCGGAACAGTGAATTAAATCCATAATTTCCAACAAGGATGTGGAAATTGACTGGCTGACCAATCATGAAAACAGATCAAGGCAACTAGTTCAGCTTTTATTTCAGAACAGAAAGTTTCAAAGTTTTGGTTCAGAGGAACCAGTCACACTAGCTGAAGAGGTTGGTCTGTGATCCAAATTGTGAGAGTGTATAGAAGTTTTCAAGCTATGTGAACTGAAAAGAGGTTTAGGCCATCAGAACTGAAAAAGAGTTGATGCCAGCAGATACATAAATTAGGAAAACTGTTTCAACAGTCCAAGGTTAAGAACTGGGAAGGGTCAGTTAAGTTAGAAAGTAAAGAGTTGAACTAGGACTGATATTTCTTTGGGATTGAGTATCTGTAAAATGATAGCATTGCGAAACAGTTTGAAACTTTGTTTTATCTCAAGAAAATTCTAAACTATCACATATATAAGATTTTGTTTTCTTTTTTATTTTGTGCTATAAGCTTGTGTTAAAGAACATTTGCAGCCTTGTATGTATATAATCAGTGACTAACCATCACTGCCATCAAATGTAAGAACTTATGATCTATCAAGCCAGGCTTCATTCTAGCAACTGAGTTGTCTAGTATTACCACCAGCTAGGATTATAACAGTAGAAAATAAAATCTTGCTATTTAGGAAAAGAAGGGAGAGAGAAAACAGGAAACTATAACCAAGTTAGTTTGATAGCATTATTGATGACATTTTTCATCATTATATCATGAGGAGACTGATAGGCAGTAATAAGCCTGGTTGGATTTCTCCTCCTTTATGTGTCCACAATACACCTGGGCAATTTTCCACTTTGTGAGGTAGATGCCAGAATTGTAGCTGCATCTGAAACAGCTTGGCCAAAGGCACAGCTTGTTATGGAGTGCATGTTCAGGACTATTGCCGGATAACATCAGGGCCTACAGTCTTTGCAGTATCCAGTGCCTCCAGCCATTTCTTGATGTCACGTGGAATAAATCAAATTGGCTGAAGACTGGCATCTGTGATGCTGGGAACTTCTGGAGGAGACAGAGATGAATTATCCACTTGGCACATCTGGTTGAAGACTGAAGTGATGCCTACATCCCATGAATGAATAAGAAAAAACACAGATGAAAAGACATTTATTCATGCAGAATGTTGAGAATCTATGGATTTTTTTTAAATCGCAAAGGGCTGTAAGTGCTCAGTCAATGAGTATATTCAAGGCTGAGATTGATGAATTTTTGGAATCAAGGGATATGGTAACAGAGTGGGCAACTGAAATTGACAGCACTTCAGCTGTGATCTGATTGAACAGATGAGCAACATCAAGGGCCCATATACCCCACACCTGCTCATACTAAATATTGTCTTAATTTTTTATTGACAAATGTCTTTTAGAAAACAGCTTATTTGTTCTTTCTCATTTCAACAGTCACATTCTGATTATTGTCTATCTATTCTTTTAAATTTCTAACATGTTGATGGTTAAACATCAGTCTTGATGTTTGGTCATATTTGAATTCAAATCTGAAAAAAAATGATACTCCACACCTATAAAGTCTTCAGTGCCAGAGCAGCTGTTTGGCAGTTAGATTTATCACGATGGTTAAACTTTACTTTTATTGTAGTAGTAGGGTCTAACTTTTGCTGGCAAGACTACTTGGTATCAATCACATTGTACAACAAACAATCCAGTTGCATTTGTTTCAATGCTAAGCCTCGCCATATAGGCATAGCGTTGAACCTAGGGGAGTAGGATAACATGACAGTATTTTTACATTTAAAAGCATACATGTAGTCACTGGAAGTTGCTGTCTGATTGATACTTTAATAATGGTCATATTATCAACCTCACCATTATTCTGACAGCAAAATTTAGCCAAGTAATAGCTAAAGTGCAAGTTAAAAGTCCACCTGCTTTACAAGTCTAACACTGTTTATTGCACTGTTTAATGCAGTTTTTTTAAATTAGTTTTTTGAACTTTGATAAATTTCAGGCCTTCAATACTGAAGTGATTTTTTTTTTGTTGCAGGAGCCTAAACATTTTTAAAATCGATTGCGCTAGGCCACCTGCTTACTTGCTCCATGGGGCTGTGATACTTAAATATTAATTCTTCCTCTTGACAGTTTAGAAGGTGAAAGATGAGATTTAAAAATCAGAAGTAGGAACTAAGACTAAAGTCGAGATTGAATGCAATCAGTTGTATATGAATAAATGGATTTTTCTCTGAATGGCAGGCAGTGACTAGTGGGATACCACAGAGAACAGTATTAGGACACCAGCTATTCACAATATATGTTAAAAAAGATTTAGATGAACTAACCAAATGTAATATCTCAAAATTTGCAGATGACACAAAGCTGGGTGGAAGGGTGAGCTGTGAGAAGGATACAGAGATTTTACACTGTGATTTGGCCAGGCTGAGTGATTGCATCTGTAATTCATATGCCCAATGTACTATGGATAACTGTGAGGTTATCCATTTTGGTAGCTAAAATAGGAAGGTAGATTATTATTTGCATGTCTGTAATTTGAGAGGGGGGAATGTTCAACGAGACCCGGGTAGCCTTGTGCAAAGCCACTGAAAGTAAGTGAGCACTAAAGAAGGCAAACTGTATGTTGGCCTTTTATAGTGATAGGATTTGAGTACAGTAACAAGGATGTTTTGCTGCAATTATACAGAGCATTGTTGAGGCCACACCTGAAATATTGTGTGCAGTTCTGGTCTCCTTGTGTGAGGAAGGATGTTTTTGCCAGAAAGGAAGTACATCAGAGCTTTACCAACTTAATTCCTGGGATGGCAGGACTAACATGTGAGGAAAGATTGAATCAGTTAGGATTGTATTCACTGGGGTTTACAAGAATGGCATGGTGGGGGTTGGGGGAGGAGGAGGAATCTCTTAGAAAGCTATAAAATTCTAACAAGACCACACAGGTTACATGCAGGTGGTTCCCAATGGTGGTGGAGTCTAGAACTAAGGGTCATAATTTAAGGATAAAGGTAAACTTAGGTGAACTCGCCAACTGGATACAAAAACTGGCTTAGTGACAGCTGACACTGAGTGATGGTGGAGTTAACAGAGGGTGGAGCTGGAGGAGCACAGCAGGCCAGGCAGCATCAGAGGAGCAGGAAAGTTGACGTTTCAGGTCGGGACCCTTCTTCACAAATGGGGGAGAGAGAAGGGAGCTCTGAAATAAATAGTGAGAAGAGGGGTGGGACTGGGGAAGGTAGGTAGGATGGTGATAGGTCAGTGTACGTAGTCAGTGGTGGAGATTGGTCAGTGAGGTGGATGGACAGGTTGTGTCACGTTGAGCTCCTCCAGCTCCACACTGTGTTATCCCTGACTCCAGCATCAGCAGTTCTTACTATCTTTGAGTGATGGTGGAGTGTTGTTTTTCGGACTGTAGACCTGTGACCAGCACTGTTCCACAGGGATTGGTCCTGGGTCCACTTTTGTTTGTTATTTATATAAATGATTTAGAGGAGAAAATATAAAGCATGGTTAGTAAGGTTGAGGATGACACCAAAATTGGTGGCATAGTAGACAGTGAAGAAGGTTATCTAAGATTACAAAGAGATCTTGATCAATTGGGTCAATGGACTGAACAGTGGCAAATGGAGTTTAATTTGATAAATGTGAGGTATTAACATTTTGGTAAAACAAACAAAGACAAGACTTATACAATTAAAAGCAGGGCCTTGGGCAGTGTTGTCGAACAGAAAGACCCAGGGCTTCAGGTACATAATTCTTTGAAGTTTGCAACACATGGGGTGGCATGGTGGCTCAGTGGTTAGCACTGCTGCCTCACAGTGCCTGGGATGTGGGTTTGATTCAAGCCTTGGACAACTGTCAGTGCAGAGTTTGCACATTCTCCCTGTGTCTGCATGGGTTTCCTCCGGGTGTTCCAGTTTCCTCCCACTGTCCAAAGATATGCAGGCTAAGTGGGTTAGTCATGGGAAATGTAGGAACAAAAACAGAAGTTGCTGGAAAAGTTCAGCAGGTCTGGCAGCATCTGTGAAGAAATGTTCTGAGGTAGGGTGACCAGACCCGAAACGTTAACTGATTATTTTCTTCATAGATGCTGCCAGACCTGCTGAGCTTTTCCAGCAACTTCTGTTTTTGGTCCTGATTTACAGCATCCACAGTGCTTTAGGTTTTTATGGAAAATGTAGGGTTGCAGGGATAGCGTGGAGGGGTGGGATGCTGTTCAGGGGGTCTATGGGCTGAATGGCCTGCTTCTACACTGTAGGGATTCTATAGTTCTATGATTCTTTGAAGTTTGCATCACATATATATAAGGTGGTTAAGAAGGCATTTAGCATTCTTGCTCAGACTTTTGAACATAGGATTTGGGACGTTATGTTGAGGTGAGGTCTCTTCTGGAGTACTGTGTCCAGTTCTGGTCACCCGATTACAGGAAGGAATTATTAAGCTGAAGAGGGCTCAGAAGAGATTTAACAGGATGTTGCTGGGAATGAAAGGTTTAGGATATAAGGAGAGGCTGGATAAGCTGGGGCCTTTTTCATTTGAGTGTAGGTTGAGTGGTGACCTTAAGGTACCAATCACAGGCAGGTGGAACTAGTTCAGTTTGGGATCATGGTTGGCATGGACTAGCTAGGCCGAAGGGTCTGTTTCCGTGCTGTATGGCTCTATGACTGGGTTCAGGAAAAATCTGTTCACAGTGTGGTGTGCCTGTGGAATTCACTACCACATGAAATGACTTGAGGCCAAAACATTATGTTTTCACGATGGAGGAAGATATAGCTCTGTGACTAAAGGAGTCAAAGGATATGGGGGAGTGCAGGATTAGGGTACTGAGCTCAATGATCAGCCATGGTCAAATCCAATGGCAGAGCAGACTCAAGGCGTTAAATAGCCTATTCCTATCTCCTATGCTTCTATATGTCCTGGAGAAATAGAGGAAGCAACAATAAATCAGAACTGGCTCTTAGATTGCTGATGCTGGATCTAACTTCTTTGAACAATCTATTCCATCAAGAGGAAAAACCTCGTTGTAAAATTTATAGAATGACTTCTGCTTCCCAAATATTTAGTCCAGATAAAGTTTCCACATAAAAACTCTCTGTGGGAATACAAGGTTAATTTACAACAAGGTGGTAGTTTTAGATTATAAGACCATGAGAAATAGAACAGCCATAGGCTGTTCAGCCCCTGAAACATAGCTGAAGCTACATTACTCATGCCCACTTTCCTGCCTTTTCCCCTTAACCTTAGATTCTTGATGAGTAGGAAAATCAATCAATCACAGCCTTGTAAATACACAAGGAATCTGCCCCAACAGCTCTCTATGGCAAGTAATTCCAAAGACTCTCAACCTTCAGAGAAAAAAATTCCTCCTCATTTCAGTCTTAAATTTGTGTCCCAATATTCTGAGATTATGCCCTTTGGTCTGAGACTCTCTCATGGGTGGTCAACATCCTCTCAGCATTTACTCTGTCAGGGCCCTTAAGAATCCGACATGCTTCAATGAGATCACCTCTCATTCTTCTAAACTCCAATAAGTAGAAGAATAGAGATCATTTGGGGTAAGAAAAAAAGCAATTCAGAAAAAGTCTGAATTTTCAGTCAACAATTTATAACAATCATTAAGAGCAGGATTAACCATTTGACAAGATCCTGTAAAGAAAGAGGGATGCAGAACATGTGGCCTTTCTTGCAAATGAACCCAAACTTTCACAACACTTACTTGGACTGATGCCACCGGGTCTCATGCTGGGCCAAACTCACCTCCGCCACTGCCTCCATTAATCTGCGCTGGACACAGATGCTGCCAGGAATCCAAACTGGCGTCCGCTGCAGCAGCCATGAGTCAGCACTCGGACCACCTCTTATTGGAACATCTCCAATACACCTAGGTAATATGTCAGTTCAGCTGTTGAAGACAATGTATCAATGTGGATGTGAAAACACAGATCAATAGGGAAGATTCTCCACGTCCCACCTACAAGTATGACACAGTTTATATCCCTTTTATCTTTAAAAGGTATTTTGACCAAATATTCTATACTACAGAGATTAGGATAATCTTTTCAAAATGGAGAATCTTCCCTATTATTCTGTGTTTTCACATCCAAATTGATACATTGTCTTCAACAGCTGAACTGACATATTACCTAGGTGTATTGGAGATGTTCCAATAAGAGGTGGTCCGAGTGCTGACTCATGGCTGCTGCAGCGGAGGCCAGTTTGAATTCCTGGCAGCATCTGTTTCCAGCGCAGATTAATGGAGGCAGTGGCGGAGGTGAGTTTGGGCCCAGTATGAGACCCGGTGACATCAGCAGTGGCTGTGTTGGTGAGGTGGGTCTGAAATGGACTCATGGTGGTGGCAGAGTTGGGCTTGGGCCAGAGGTGCATTGAGGACTCATGGTGGTGAGGGCATTGGTGGAGGTGAGATGGCGCCAAAGAGTGGTGACTTTTATTCCAGTAGCTGCAGCACTGTGAAGAGGACTTGTCATAGCCACTAGGCCCATGGGCGGGGCACTTAACAAGAGGAACTGTAAAGTTTAACACTTTCTTTATTTCTTAATTCTTCTGTGCTTATATTCTATGTTTTGGTTTATTTTCCTGTGTTTTAAGATGGCACCAGAGAGTGGCAGCATTATACAACAATTTTCACTGTATTTCATAACAAAATACAAGTGACAATAAATAAATCAAATCAAATAAATCAAGATGGCAGTGGAGTAGGACTTCTGAGCACAGGGCTCGTCATCTCCGTCCGCTTTTCTTCTCAATGTTTCTTTTTTCCACTTCCCTTTCATTTTAAAAAATTTTATTTTACTCACCTCTTGGCGAAGCGCTCGGTTACAGCATTGGTATCTGTAAGTGGGTCCAGCAGTGTGTAGTCATGGCGTCAGTGAAGGTGAGTTTGGGCCCAGTACAAGACCTGATGGCATCAATAGCATCTACATCGGCAAGGTGGGCCCAAAGCAGACTTCTTTCGTGGCGGAGTTAAATTTGGGCCGGTGCGGTACCCGGTGGCATTTGCATTGGCAAGGTCCTGTAAGAACTCAGTGGTGAGGGAATTGGAGGCGGCGAGATGGCACCAAACAGTAGTGACTTTCATTTCAGCAATGGCAGTGCAGCAAAGGGGACTCATGCCTGGCCACCAGGCCCATGGCAGAGCACTTAATAAGGACTGTAAAGTTGGACATTTTATTTCTTCATTTTTCTGCCTTCATATTCAATGTTTTGGTTCATCTTTGTGTTTTAAGGAGGGCATCAGAGAGTGGCGACACTATACTTTTCAATGTATACTGTAACAAGGTACATGTGACAATAAGTGAATCAAATCAAAAATAAATAAAACAAACAGGCGATTGCCTCAACCCTTCACAGACCAAAACTAGGTAGTGTGCAAGCAAGCATAGAAATGCTGGTTGCTTAACTCAGTAAATCTGTTTCCACTATATCAAAAAGTGTCTTGTTTTATTGCAATTTTATCCTTTGATCTGGGAGATCCTGTGATTTGGAGGCTGGTTAACACATCTGCATTCCTGTACCTCCATTATTCAAGTCTTTCTGGAACCACTAGATATCACTCCAGTTATTGCCAGACTGAGCCAATGTTTGGTAATATTCAATACTCAAATGTCAATTTCAAGGAGTTTCATGGAGATTTTCTCTCCGTAAGCTCTAATGAAATGACAGTCCTCCCTAACTTGTTGGATTTTGAGATATGGCCATTTGGTTACATTGTATTCAGTGTGTTTGCCATGCAAGATGCTGGCACATGCCATAGTTGTGACATTAATATTGCACAATGTCATATAGTAACACGTCCACCACTTTGACTGTTCATGGCTGACAACCATAAACTTTCTGTGCTTAAAAAGGCAAGGCATAAGTACTGTGATCCTGTAAGTTCTGAATGAGGCAGACATGTGCAAAAAGGCAAAGCCAAGTCAGTGATGCATTGAGCATTCAAGCAAGCACACAGTGAGAAAAGGTCAAGTCAGTGAGTTACGAGCCCCGAGATACAGCCTGTTGCACTGCAGGCGATGGATGCTTGTCCCTGTGTGCAGAGTGATCTGGATGAAGGATGCTCATAGGGTTGAGATGTTGGGGAATGCTGGTTTTACTACTATCTGGTAAAAAGCAACCTGCATACATGAGGCTAGATTTGATAACAATGAAACATTAATGCATGCAAATAGGCCTCTTGCTGCTCACTAGCGAGATTTTTTTTGTGCCATTAAAATTTTGGGTGTAAACCAGACTTCTCTCGACATCAAGAATCTCATTTTTCTAATCTTGTCGTATTTTCCCAACTGACTTGCCATTAACCACCCTCATTTGGGGCTAGGAAATTCCGCCCTTGTTTCTTGTGTTGGTAAATTAAAGGACTAAAGCTCACATTCAGTTATTTCATTGTTGCATTACTTGGACCTTTGATTTTTTTCTTTGTAAGGTGCAATTTTAAATGGTAAATCATTCCCCAGCAGATGGAAAATGTATTTGTTTGCTGATGTCTTAGAGCATTTTTTCTGTTTATTAGTCCAGAAGATAAGCTAATATTGATTTTATTCTGACTAAAATTTAATCGATTCAAAGAGTTCCAATCACATCAAGAGTTCTTGAGCATCAATGTGTGAATGTTAGTGTCAGAGTTTAGCGCTTTAAAAGCCTACTGCTAATATTTGCTCAGAAAAGTGAATTAAAAATTAAGGAATGAATTACATCCCTATATGATTGCAACCTCAAACCAATCATACTTACCAGCTCTTGTGTCTTCAGGACAAATGACTAAACCAGTGAGACATAGTTTCATTGATAGGAGAGTAAAATTTGGATTGTGCTGGCCTGCTGGTTTGAATAGGTGATCCTGGATGATCTCAGCAACATAATAAGTTCGTATGAGATCAAAAATTGAATTAATTTAAAATAGGCCAGGAAACTGTGGACACTGGCAAAATGGATATCAATTATAGACTACCGCAATACAGTGGCTCTCAGATGACAGTTGGAAACATGAAGGGAATATGTGTCAAGAGGGAGGAGAACAATGACAAAGAAGAGACTTCAGAAAGCTGTGCAATTTGGACGAGCACTCCTGTATTCCTATCTCGAATTCTTTTTTTGACTCTCTTTGGTACCAGCCTTAATGTACACCTAATTCTCCTGAATGCAAATGACAGTTGCAGCTACTTTTTAATAAAAGGCGATAGGCTTCGGTGACGTATGTCATGAACATATTTCTGGTGTCTGAGTCATAGCACATAGCCCCATGAAATTCACCTTTCTTATATCTGTTTCTGTGGTCCAATTTCTAAACCCTAAATTTATTTTCTGTTACGAGTTGCTGATATTCCCTTTCCTGACCACATTTTTGTTAACGCCTCTACCTTTTACTTAAACCTTTTTCTCAACCTGGTCTTTTAGTGCACATGTATAATGACTATTACATGGTATGGCAATTACATTGCCATGATTAGTTATTTCTTCTACCAATACACTGTGGTGTGTACCTGCACTCCATATATAACAGCAGTTCAAAAAGGCAACTTACCACCACTTTGTCAAGAACAATTAGAGATGGGCAATAACTGCTAGCCTAGCCAGTGACACATGAACCTCATGAACAAAGATAAAAAAGGGTTTCTCTTTTGATTGAATCTTTTACAATAATCTTACATTATTTTGCACACTTAATGGGTTGGCCTAGTTATACAAGATCAAACAAAGTTTTCAACTATGATACAATCTTTAGTCGTCACTTTCTAATATTTAAAACATTAAACTGTTGAAAATATTTCAAAGAGTCAATATTGAGGAGTGATCATATTGCTCAATTTTTCTTTGTGAAATTTCATGTTACCTCTGGCATTTTGCTCACTTTTGTTAAGTTAATTTGACTTATGAACTTTAATAGTGTAAATCTAACTTTATTCAAATTTAGAATCACCCACCACCACCTCCAACACACGACATTCATTACTCTTTTGGTGTTTGGTATTTTGGTGTTTGCTGGTTGCAGTACTGTTTGTTTCTTTAGCTATTGCCTTTTTTTAATTTCAAGTTTAGAAATAAATGATTGTAAGGAGTTGCTCTCCGTGTTAATGTAGGGATTTCCAGAAGCATGTAAAAGAAAATCTTACCTAAATTACGACTGGTCATTAGTAGTCTTCCTTAAATACAGAGCTCATTCTAAAGAACACAAAGATTGAATAGATACTCCTTTTTTTGGGAGGGATGGTGGTCATGGGAAAGAGACAAAATAAACATATATCCAGAGATTGTCTTCTAAAAGTGTATCCCTGGGCCTATCATTTCAACTCATTTGCATTAGAACTGTTCTGCTAATCAAAGGAAAGAGTTACTGCTGAATGGAAAATTAAGAAATTCCTTCGAGATATTAATATTTGGTTAATATTAATAGTCAAAGCAATATTTTTCACAACCAGTACACAAAATACATAATATAACTACAAAGCTGCAAATGTGAATATTACAGCTATACAGTACAGGTCAAAGGGTGTGAATTGGGAAGACCAACAGGAGCAATTACAAATCTTCAGCATGGGGAAAATACATCCTTATCATGATCAATTCCTGTATAAATACAAAAACATGAAATAACTGAATAAATGCTGTTCTTCAGTGTTTGAATACTTTTCAGCCCTAATGAAATAAGTAATAAAAGCTCCAAATTAATACTACAAATTCTGGAAGACTAGCTATATCATGGTCTCACAGAATCATAAATGAAATTATAGAATCCCTACAGTGTGGAAGCAGGCCATTCAGTCCATCGAGTCCACACCAACCTCTCCAAATAACATCCCACCCAGAACCAACCTGCTACCCTATCCCCATAGCCCTGCATTTCCCATGGCTAATCCATCTACTCTACACATCCCTAGACACTATGGACAATTTAGCATGGCACACCCACCTAACCTGCACATCTTTGGACTGTAGAAGGAAACCGGAGCCACCCAGAGGAATCTCATGTAGACACGGGATGAATATGCAAACTCCACACAGACAATCGCCCAAGGGTGGAATGAAACCCAGGTCTCTGGCACTGAGGCAGCAACGCTACTCATTAAGCCCATCTTTAGTGTTAGGTTCAAATATTTAACATAAATATAGTTCAAAATTTTGGTAATAGGGAAAGATTATGTTGTTACCTGATTCAGTTAGGACATTTTCTCATTAGTCAAAATAAACTAGAATCAATTATCTTTGCTATTCAAATACTAGAATAAATTTGAAAAAGCATGTTTGTATCAGGACAAAGCAAATTAAAATTAAAAGAAAATTTTATACACACAGATAGTACTGCAAACTTAGTACAAAGAATCCAACAAGCTAACTAAATTCATGTTTTTGGGCTCAGGGTTATTTAATTGAGAATCAAGTTTGTGATTAAATTAGCTGAACTTCATTAAAGGCTAATGTTTTCTTACCAATATCCGTAGATTAAATGATCTATTAGCTAATCAATTATTGAAGCAAATGAAAGAAATAGTATTTCTTTTACCAAAAAAGTAGTTGTACATGTTTTCATTTCACTGAAAATGTACCTTCTCTTAATTCCATAAAATGTGATTTATTAAAAATGTGACATTATTCACCATAGATTTGGAGTCTCTCATTCAACATCACATCATTTCATAGAGAAAATCTCCTAACACAAACCTTGTGCAGTTAATCTTCCCTGTCATTATATATAGTCTTAGGTACATTGGGAGATTGCTGTTGCAAGAATTTTTTTTCCCCCTTTATTCATTCATGGGATGAGGGAGTCGCTGGCCAGGCAGCATTTATTGCCCATTCCTAATTCCCAGAGGGCAGTTGAGAGTCAATCACATTGTTGGGGGTCCGGAGTCACATGTAGGCCAAACCAGGCAAGTTCGGCAGTTTCCTTCCCTGAAGGACACTAGTGAACTGGATGGGTTTTTCCTGACAATCGACACTGGATTCATGGTCATCATTAGATTCGTAATTCCAGATATTTAGTGAATTCAAATTCCACCATCTGCTGTGGCAGGATTC